CGCTGGGCCCCCTAGAGGCCGGAGGCCCTGGTGCGTCCGCACCGCCTGCACCGGCGGTAGTTCCGCCACTGCATTTTGGATAGAGTACGGAACAATGGCAGTTTCACTCAGGCTTTTTCTTTTTTTTTGTCTGTGCCTCCATTGAAGAGATATATTTCTTCCTCCAGTTTTGTCGCATGAAGTGGTGCCGACAGGGTCACCCACAGCATACATCTGTATACAAACATTTACATTTCTGGCTGTCGGGTGATGTGACTTCTGTGGACTGACTGTATTTCTCTCACACACGTAGGTGTCGCCACAGTTTGATCAAGCCGCAGAGCTGCATTTCCCAGCACGACGTCGTCTCCGCCATACATCCTCCAACAATACCTTGCAGAGCCGCCCTGGCGATACAAGTCGGAACACGCTCAGAGTGGCAACGAGAAAACAGAGTGTATGTAAATTTCCTTCGTTATCATTTACCCATCAGAACACTACTAGTGTAATACAAACTCAATCATTCTGTGCCAGGAGGCAGAGACAGCCCAAGCAAAAGGTGATTTTGCAAACCCCTGTGTTGAAATCTCCTCCTGAGCGCACATGTGATAAGACCGTGAGCCCCCCAGACATAAAGACTCCAGATGCGAGTCCGACAAAGAACACATCGCTGGCACCTGCCACAGCTGACCTGCCAACACCAGTCTCCAGGAAAGAGATTGCACAGGGTGCAGCCAACACACCTCAGGGGAATGGACAAGTGCTGGCAGAGGATACCCCCGAGCATGAGTACGGAGTCCGTGTAACGTGGAGAAGACGTAAGGGACTAATGAAATACTTGAAATCGAGAGGCAGGCTTGAAAGCAGCCAGATCCAGGTGAAGCTGTGAGATTTAGACTTCTGTTTGTAAAGAGTCCGAGAAGATCACACTAAACTTTCAACTCTTATGATTTTCCAGCTATGAACTGGAAATGACTAGAAAAAAAATAATGTTAACAGAAACTTTTATTAAATTTCAGAATGCACTTGATTTCCATACTGACTAATAGACTAATGTGGCTGTCTTTGTCTCACTAGCCAGTAATCCTTAAAGTGGTACTAAAGGCTGGCTGCTGGCTGCTAGCCCCAGCTAGCTGATGGAGGCACTCGTACAGGGGGGTGGTGCTAGCGGTCTGGATACCACTAGAGAACAAGGAAATAAAAGAAAAGTTTGGGGGGTTTTTTGTTTGTTTTTTTTCCCGCAAGTCTGCCCCCATAAAGAAGAAAATAAAAGCAAACTGAAGGTTTTCTGTCTCTTTAACCTGCAAGAATGGTCATAAGAATGTGTCCTTTTTATTGTCACTGGTTTTAAGAGTTGAGCAATGACAATTCTGATTTCTGAAAATGCTAGTGCTTGGCTTTCTTGATGGTTTCAGGTTTGTTTGTTTTTTAGTATCTCCTGGCACTAACCCATACAAATAAATTAGCATTAACAATAAAAAATATTTCAAATACAGCAACAAAACAATAAGTTACAGAAATTTGTAAAAATAAATAAGGGGAATAAGAAATGGGTGCACATCATCATATAGAATAGACTTGGAGCATCAGAAAAACATAGTAAATATTACTTAGATAAAATGCCTGATTCACCAAATTTACAGAGGATACCCGAGGGAACTTAAATATGATCAGTATTATCAACTTCCGATATCGCAAGCCACCTGGACCAAATAGCTTCACATTTATTTGGACAACCTCTGCCCTTATAGGTCAATTTATGAAGAGGCACCACCCCATCCACCCAACTATTCCATTCTGTCAGAGAAGGTGGAGTTCTCCTGTCCCAGTGCTTAAAGATGAACTTTACCCATATCTTCAAAATAACAAAGGCAACTTTTAGAAATGTTTAATAATGACAATCTACAAACACATACTTCTCGATAATTGCAGGTTTTTTATTATTTGCATACCTCGGCTTTCTTTTCATCTCCAGTCTTCTCTCAGCCGCCATTTTTCACTAAGGGCAGATAAATCCATCTCCCTTTACTTCCTGGAACTCTGGCACATGTGATTAGGACATGTGACCATGCACATCTCAGGGGAGGAAAATGCCTTTCTCTGAGGTTATTATTATTATACAGGATTTATATAGCGCCAACCGTTTGCGCAGCGCTTTACAATATAGGGAAGACATTACAATCACAATACAACTCAAGACAAGATGGTAAGGATCTCATGTGATTACAGATGAGATTTCTCAGCAATGCTCTGCTGATGTAATCTTCCCAGGATGCAACGCTTTGGCACAATTACATTACTTTTGCCAAAGAGAGCGAGGAAGTGGAAAACAAGAAATTGTAAGTAAAATGAAAATATGTTTAGCTAATGAATGTAAGATGATTTCATATCAGTATGCAGAGCTGCGAGCTGATGTGATTTTTAGCCAAAGGGGGTAAAGGTCCGCTTTAGCAATTATTATTTTTTTGCATAGATTAGTAGTATAGTAATAGGAAACTTTAGATGTATGGAAATATCAAGATCACCAGCGTACCCCAAAATACACCACGATGGACAACGAATGGGCGGTGAGTCCAATTTATCACTAATAAACTTAGTGACGTTGTGCCAGTAGGAGCCAATCACAGGGCAGTCCAATACTATATGCCATATATCCACATGTGCTGCAGAGCAGCGAGGGCAGGAAGATGAAGTACGTCTGCCCACATGAAACATTCTAAATGGTGTGAAATATACTCTATGCAAAAATCTCAACTGTACCAGTGTATCTCTATCAGCAATAACCGATGGTATCGTCTGTGTAGGTATGGATCCCCACACTTTGTCCGTTATGGGTGAGATATCAGTCAACCACTTCCCTCGAAGTTTTATGTCGTTCGCTAATATAAAGCTAGAAAGGTAGCGGGAGATTAATTTTGTGCTGTCTGGGATAAGAAGTAACTTTTTTATCGCATGAGGCTACAGACAAACATCGTGAAGCCCAACATAAGCCGCAGTAGCATGTCTGAGCTGCAGGTACCTGAAAAATCATTCCCTTGGAATTTTGAATTCACTCCGGAGTTCATCAAAAGATTTAAACTGACCAGCAGAGAAGAGCTGATGTAAGTATTTCGGTCCAGCCTTTGCCCACAGTAGTTCATCTGGAAGGTGTAGAAATTCCGATTAGCACGGATTAAGGGCTCGTTCACACCACAATCAGTGCGTTCCAGCCTTCCTGCGTTCTGGAGAATGGTGGTGCCATTCAAGTCAATGGCACCTCAGCCACATTTCCTGACGCAGTGCGATCACCTGCACCAGTGATTTCTCTAGTGCATGCGCTATTTTTTGCGATCACACTGTTCGTTTGCATTGCTGTGCCATGCATTCTGATGTGGGCGCTTGCACTGTGGGCAGGAAGCGTGGTGCTGCAGTGCCATTGACTTGAATGGCACCACCACACCCCTTCCCACCCCAGAACGAAGGGAGGCTTAATTATGTGATCCAGTGCGTTCCAGCCACTAGCCATGCTGAAAAGCACTGGTTGTGGTGTGAACAAGCCCTAAACCATAGCGGTGAGTTTGGAGAAAGAGGGGCCGAGGCTGGTATAATGACTTGAATACACCATTTTATAGTCTTAAGAGAAACTTGTATGGTTTTCGTACCCGGTACCGGAGACAAGGTTCTCCTATAAGGCATTGCTTAACATTTCAAAAGAAGACAATATGGCTGCCTCTACGGTCGATGCCGCATTTGGAAACTAAGGGCATAACCACCAAAGAGCATAGGTAAACTGAGCGGCCACACAGTCTATATACAAACCCCTGGGAAGGGCCAAACCACCGCTGCTAATAGGTAGGTAGATGCAATTCTTGTAAAGATATTTGTGGGGGACGCCCTGCCCACAGAAGGGAGGATAGTAATGAGTCTATTTCTCAGAAAATTCCACAAACTGAACATCGGGGAGTTCAAAAAACGTGTAGAGAAATCGCGGCGGGGGTAGAGCATTTTGAACAAGTTTACTGGTCCCATTAGATTGAGAGGGAGTTTGGACCAGGATACAATTGCCCCTTTAATTTTTTGCTTTTTTTTTTTAATTTAGCTTAAGGGCCTGTTCACGCGACGTCCGTTTTGTGTGCTGACCGGCTCCGTACGCTGCTGCACTAAGCAGCAACATAGCACCCCATCCATACACAACTGTGTATACATTACGGCATAACATATGCCAACATACATGCAAGACCATGCAAGGTCGTGCATGCATTGATTTCAACTCTCTGACTATAACCCTCCCCCTCCCCCAGTCACATGTAGGTATTTTAATAAAAAAAAATTCCCTAATTACAACCAATCTACCCCCCACCCGCTCCTTGATGTGGACCATTACAGCCAATTTCTTAAGCTCTTCCCAGAAATATACACAGTACCAGAATCAGGCAATCAATGCTGTGAAACAATGCAGATTTAAAATGGAGGTCTCTCAATGCTCTCGCCACCATCTCATCCCTTACAATATCGTCTCCCCCGAGGTTCCAGGATAGCCAAAAACCTCCCACTGTGCCCCCCAACCAGGCTCCAGATCCCCTAACAGATGCTATAATTGTGTACCTAGGCCGTTAGCGTAATGTCAGATTCCATCCAGACCGACCAAATTCTATCGAACTTTTGAGGGCACCCTCTGTTAGCTGCATGTCACATTTTGTCAGGTCCGGAAACGGTCCGGATACGCAAACGCGTCAAAAACGCATTGCGCTGTAGCTAACATATTAACAGCCCCACTCCAGCAAAAAAAAAAATTTTTTTTTTTGCTGGAACGCATCAAAAACGCGGCCAATACGCGGCCAAAAACGCAATGCATCAGCAGCTCCACGTCTGCTGATCAGGACCTGATCTCATGTGAACAGGCCCTAAAGGAGATCTATGAGGTGAGGGATTTCTACTCATCCTCATAGTTGCAGCCGACCTGTGACAAAGAAGCTGTCACAGGTCGGCTCTATCGATTGGGAAGTGAGCAGAAACATGCAGACGATCCACTCACTTCCCGATCGTCTCCCTGCACTGAGCGGTGACTGTCGGTCACCGCTCCCCACAGGGATTCCCCCCTCTCCGATCCTCCAGCGCTGATTGGAGGAATGGGCGGGCACAGCTGGCTCTGCCTCTAGATAGGCAGAGCCAGCTGTCACTCACGCAGCTGGGTGGATCTCGACAGTATTGTCGGGATCCGTTCCCTGCTGCAGCGCTCTCAGTATATCACAGGCAATAGCCCTCTATATACTGAGCTTTGGGTCATGGGAGGAGGTTAGTATATGTCCTCCCGTGACCCTAAAGAGAACTATGGGAAAAATACCCCATACTTCTCTTTTAAAATGGGCTTTCAGGTGTGTTCCAGTGCGTTTGTATTTTTTGATGTGTGTCATGCATTTCAGTGCATTCCAGACCAGACAAAATGATTCGAGCAGTATTTTTGTTATCTGGTCCGGAACGGACTGCGCTGGTGTGGACAGAGCCCAGAAATACCGTAGGGATACATTGGGAGGCTTTCTTGGCCCAGGAACAAACGTTTCTGGTCTGGACATGATCCATTGTGTGAACAAGCCCTTAAAGGACTCCATGACAGGATATACATTATTAGGTAGGTATGTTTGTAGGGGGAGTTGAACATCCACACCTAAGTATTTAAATGTATCTACTATCTGGAGCGGAATAGGATCATGTATATCCAATATTGGGGAGGGTCTTGGAAACGCCACTGATTTGTCCCAGTTGATTGTGAGTCTGCAAAATTGACCAAAATCCGTTGCTCAATGTGAACAATCTGGGTAACACATTAGCAGAATCATCCAGGTATTGCAACATGTCATCTGTGTAAAGAGTTTTTTTCTTTTTCAGTCAACAAGCCAATCAATAGGCCAGGAATATCAGGTCCGGGTCAGAGCTGCTGCCATAGGGGTTCAGTTGCAGCACTGACAGTGGACATCCCTGTTGATATAGAAGGGCTCAGATATAACACCATTCACTCTAAGTCTAGCTCTAGGTCTAGTATAGAAAAGATTTACCCACGCAATAAAAATTGGGACAGAAGCCAGATTGTTAAGGTTTAACTCCTGAGTTTAGTGTCATTTTAAGGGCCTGTAGTAAAATGCCCGTCAGTCCAAGATTACAGGAGCTTTGTATTAGGCAGAATCAAGCATTTTAGCCCCAGAGACTTTAATGGTAGCACCTGGGGAATGTGTAAGTACACATGTTTTTTAGGCGCTCCCATTAAAAAAGTCTAAGGGGTCAAAATGCTCGATTGTGCTTCCATACAACACGTTGTGAATAAAAACACTTGAGAAACAAAGTGTACAAACGCAGAAAAAAAAATTAAAAACTTGTAAATTACCAGTGGCAAATATGCCAGTGTAAGTACTTGCATTGAACCTGGTATCAGCCTCTTGCAGAGCTGGAGTGTGAGAGGAAGAGGCACTACAAGGAGCCAATCAGTTCATGTGCTGACCCAGCATGCTGGTAGGGAGAGAGCAGAGTGAGGGAGTGATGAGCTTATTTCTGTGATGCTTCTCCTTTCACTGTATAATGGCAGGCTGGGGGGGAGGGGGGAGAGGAATCTGGGATGGCCTGAGCATAGAGGAAGTTTGATGAATGATGCTGGCCATCAGACTGAGGACACATAAAGGCAGAACAAAAGAACTGCAGAGAAATGAGTAACTGAAGCTGAATATTACAACACGCTGTTTTATTATTTGATCTTTTATTTGGTTTCTCATTTTATCTTCTTGTTGTTTGGCTGCTGTCAATGAGAGCTGTACAGTATTGAAGCCAGTGGATGAGATGACAGCCAGGGAACAATCATATTTATCTCTGGGTTTGGTGGGCCCCATGAAATATCTTGGGGTGTATGACGACTTCACCAGCACATGACTTCAGCTGCTGGGTCACGTGTTCACATTTCAGTAACTGTACATTGGAACCTGAGGAGCCCCTAACATGACCGGGCCCCAGAATCCGCCTCTGTCCATGAGACGGACCACCCAGGACCTGCTCCCACCGCCCTTCATTTCTCAACCTCGGTCCCGCCCCCAGGACGCCTACTGACAACCGCAGCCAATAACGTGTAACGCTTCTGCCGTGGCGGCCAATGGCAGGGCGGGACACTAGCCGGTGCCGTTGTCTGGCTGGTTGCTAGGAGACCGGAGTCGGGTCGCAGAGTGCAGGATGGAGCCCAGCGCGGATGGGAGCCCCGGGATCGGGTATGGGGGAGCAGGAGGGAGGTGAAAGCTAAATCACAGGGTGCAGGAGGAAGAGGGGGATTCAGGAACACTGGGAGTGTAGTAGGGGGAGTGAGGGGGCACTAGTTACAGGTGGTAGAGGGTTAAAAGAACTGAGTATAGTAGGAAGTGGTGGTATAGTAGTAAGAGGTGGTATGGGGTGTAATAGGACTGGGTATAGGAGGAAGGTGTTGTATAGGGGCAGGGTGTTGTGGCACTAGGCATGGTAGTTACAGGAGGAAGAACTTAGGGTGACTGGGTACAAGAACACTGGGCTCTGGCGTTACAGGAGGTGCCGCTCTAGGAGATTCAGGTCTAATAGCACTGTCTACAGGTGAAGTGGGTAGAAGAGGTTTGGGTAAAGGGGGTGTAGGAGCAGTAAGCACACAGGGTTCAGGGGGTGCAGAAGCACTAAGTACAGGGATAGGAATCTTTGTTTTCTTTCCTTTCCACAATCTCAATACTCCTACCACCTCCTATTACTCAGACATTCCGGCATACACACAGCGCTTGCCTGCCTACCCAGCACATGTCCTGCTCTCATACACCATACAGCATGCCTCTGTGCCTGTAGCGTCTGTTCTTTCCTCCCACACTGTACTAGTTATCCATTCTACAAGTATTCCTCCTCCTGAAGAAGTTTTCTGTCTCTCTAATCAGTCATTAAGTGTTCACATGTCACCACTGACCCAGATACTAAAAACTGGTTGACAAGCTCATGTTACCAGTAAGTGGGATAAGAAAAACAGAGACGACTCCTCTTCACAGAGGCCCAAACAACAAATTTTGTATTATTTATTTTAATTCAGTATCCTGGATGATGAAAATGGCAGACTGCGACAGCTCAAACTACATAACCAGGTAGGTGAAAAGGCAACAACAAAGGCTCTACTGACATGGATGCTAAATTACTTGGCACCTAACTGCCATAGAGGGTGAGCTGATCATGTTTTCATACTAGATGACTAATGGCTCAGATATATGTGTTGATGCATTTAATTTATTTTCTATTTCTGTTCTTTTTTTTTTCTTGTTATTTTGTATATTAGATTCCTTATGAAAATGATGTGTTTTAGTGAAACCTTTCATGATTTTAAAGGGTAACTTACCGACAGCACACAGTCATCTACCCTGGCTTCTTCTTGACCCTGCCAGCTTGTGTTCTGGTCCATAGACTGGACTTCCCAACCCTGCAGTATGGAATGCTGATAATGCACGACCGCTTTTTACTTCCAGGACCTTTACCCTGTGTCAGCCGTGCTTCTCATTGATCAGCGTGATTATGTGACTGTGCTGACCTACAAGGGCTCGCCATTTGCGAGCATTATGAGTATTCCATACTGCGGACTTGGAAGTCCGGTTTATGGACCACTACACTGGCTGTAAGTGTGATGGGGATCCAGGGCAGGTGGCGGGGTGTTGTTGGTAAGTTAATTTTTTCACATTTTGTGAGAAAGTGAGCTTACCCTTTTAAAGTACCGAGAGTCATTTATGAGAAGTTGGGTTCCACCTGAATCCAGTCCCGTGGAAAAATCGCCATCTCATTGATTATCTTCTTTTCTCCACTTCTACCCCTCTAGAGGACTCTGCTGGAACAGAAACAGAGGAAAAAGAGGCAAGAGCTGCATATGGTACAGCCAAACCACGACACCAGACAGCGAAGACCTAAATCCAGGAAGAGTGAGGAGCAGGCGCCTCTGATGCAGTGTCAGACTCCTCGCTCTGTCTGCTCGGATGTCATTTTGGATGGTAAGATCTCTCTCACTATGTAGGTCCATCAGCAAGACGGACAGATGCCCAATATGTTGTCTCTGAGGGGCCTATAACACTCTTGGGGTATCTGACAGCTCAATATGGTTTAGCTTAGTAAAAGGAAAAAGAAACGTGTCCCTTTAAAAAAAAAAAAAAAAAGGGTCTCCTACTTCCTTAATGAAGCTGTTAAATTCCCTTAATATGTGGCCTGACCAGTAATTGTTCACCTCAAACAATGTCTATATTCGGTGTGGATAGGGACTCATTAAGAACTTCTTTAAAGGTCATCTCTGGCCAAAATAAAAACCCACTCCACCCCCACTAACATTGATTTAGAAAATTGTTTTCAAACACCGTTCCAAAATCTCTCCGCCCCCCCAGAGAGCGATGTCATTTGACCCTCCACGGCACCTCTGCCTGCAGTGTCCACCGCTGTGGTCCAGCAGGCCTGCCATTAGCTGGTCTTGTTGCCGTTTCTCATCCTGATGTGATCTACCACCGCTGCATTTTTCAGGATGCTGTAAGGAGCCCAGCAATGGACAGTTAGTGGAAAGTGTCCACATCACCAGGCAGCAATGTCCTCACCAAACTGGTTTCTTTCTTGAGCACCCTACCCTCGCTGACAATTAGGTTTTAATGCTGCTGCATGTTATTGAAGAAAAAGCATCTCAATATTTACAGGTGAAACTCGAATAGTTAGAATATCGTGCAAAAGTAATTGCAGTAAGAGCTGCAAAAGGGGCCCAAACCAAGTACTGAGTACATATGCATGCTTGTACTTTTCAGAGGTCCGATATTGTTCTATGTACAATCCTTGTTTTATTGATTGCATGTAATAATCTACTTTTTTGAGGTTGTGGATTTGGGGTTCTTGGGGTTTTCAAGAGCTGTAAGCCATAATCATCACAATTATGACAAATCACGGCTTGAACTATCTTGCTTTGCATGTAATGAGTCTATCTCATATATTAGTTTCACCTTTTAAGTTGCATTAGTGAAATAAATGAACTTTGCACGATATTCTAATTATTCGAGTTTCACCTGTAATATACGTAGGTATATTTACTTTTTTCTGGTTCGGCCTTTTACACAGTGCAGAGATAGTGAAGCCAAGCTGCCAGTCTCAGCCATGATATTATAGGCTCCTGTGACAGTCACGTGTCACTGCTCTCTGCCTAAATCAGCGGTCAGGGTGACTGGTGAAAGATGGCGATCAGGGCTCAGCTGTTGACTTTTGAGCTAACCAAAAGTCACAATTTGCATATTGGTGATAGTGCTGCTTAGTGGGCTTAGGATGTTCATTTTGGGTAAAGGAGTGTGTTTAAAACAGCTGATGGAACAGGAAGGTACCACTATCACAATATGCTTGGGGAATGGGCTGGTTCACTTTAAGCAAGTTTAACAAAGTGTATGATTGCCATTAATATGCAGCTTTCACTTTCCACTTCAGCTGTCACTCTGCAGCAACAGAGTTGTTTCTACCAATTAAAACATGTGAAATGGATTTTATATGGAATAAAGTTTGTTCAGCTATTTCTTTTTAAATGAACCCGCTTCCAATCCTGTCCTTTACCACTGCAGGAATTGACGGCCCGGCTGCCTTTCTTAATTCAGACACTCAGGACATGGAGTACAAAATCCACATTTTGTCAGTTGGAGAAACGTCCCTTGATGAGATTGAATCTGACAACTCCAGACCCAACTCCAGCGACACGAGCACCAGGTCTAGGCCTGGCGAGGGAAAAGTGTCAGTGGAGGTTAAGGGCATGTCTGAGATCACCAATGAGTACAATGCCCAGTCTGCTCCCAGCGAGGTGAAACCCCAAAAGGTAAAAGAGCCGATGTCCCGTGCCAGAAAGACCACAGCCCGACCCGATCCTGTCGAGGAAAAGATTCAGGAGAATGCGGAAGAATCGAAACGGGATCTCCTGGAAAAGCTGCAGGAGAGGGGTGAGCGACAACTTAACTTTGGAACATGGTGCATTGTCCCTTTTCATGTCCACCATACCTGTATTAACATTAACTGATAGAGGTATATATTTCACTGCCTTGGAGCATAACATTACTTCACTCTTCATTGTAATCTGAGATTTCTTTACTGTTGTAGCTCAGGACAACAGTAATAAACACATTTTCTTGTTCCTCTAATGCCATTGAAAAGGCAGAAGCAGGAAATGAAATCGGTAGATTTTGTGGAAGGAAAGTTGCTAGGCAACTTCTATTAGGTTCAGATTAGTCGGCAGATTTCATCACCTGCTGGTTTCCTAAAACTCTCAGGGACTGGCAAGTGTTTCCCACCAGATTTTCCAGAACATTCTGAATGCCGTGGCCGTTACAAAGCCAAATTATAGCCTCGAACTCCTTCCACTTAATGTGTAATTAAATTTAAACTCTCAACAAATATGATCACATTTATTTTTAAATGCTGCTAGTATAAGTACCTGAATCTGTGTTTGTTTAATATATATATATATATATATATATGTATGTATGTAT